AAAATGTGATTATTTCAGTTTTTTCAGTAGATATACCTATACCTATTTTTAGTGAGTATTTTATTAAACCTCCAGAAGTTTAGATTGCAGTTTTTAGAATTTTATGAATTCCGAATAGTTATATATCATAATTATGCTCAAATTCGTGCCCCATACAAGAGATGAGGGGCGGAAATCCAAAACACATTTTTCCAAAATATTGTTTTTTCAGGAGAAGTTATTTTCTGTATCTTTTTTTATTATCGATGTCAGTTAACTAAAGCCGAATAAATGTAATGTATAATGGATTACACAGGTTTTCAAAAAAAAAAATATTTATGTCCTTGAGTGTAAACCCTATTTTTATGGCATTTCAAAATGTATAATAATCCAAAACGTACTACTGCCATTAATATAATGGCAATAGTACATTTTGAAAAATTGAATGGAAATAGTTCGTTTTTAAAACTATTAAAATGTATTCCAAAACGTGGTTTTTTTAAAATAAAATACCTACAACATTAATGTTTCTATTTTTTAATGGCTTTAATGTTATTTTACAATTATTCCCTTACTTTCTCTTGCTCTTTTTACCATTAAGGCAGTAAGTTAGAGTATAAGCTTTTTATTTATTATTTTAATATGTTCAATCTGTTTACAATAAGTAATAAGGATAACATAGAAAATATACAAACATGAATAACGTGAAGAGGAGACCGTTCATTAACAGAATATCGGAAAAAAAATTTTTCCCGCCTATTTTAGGAAATCTTAAAGTATCAGTGAATCACCTATACCTGCAGAACTTTTAAAACTTGACTAACAATTAATATAATTAAAAAAAAAAACGATAAATGTATTGTTTGTTTTTGCACAATACTGTAATAAGTAGTTAGTTAAGAGGTATTTTTATTCAAACTCAAAATATTATGCTCAAACAACATGGAAGTACTTAATTTCAATATGTCGTATCTCCTATAAATTTAAGTAGTTAATAACACACACTTATATTAATAATTCAAAATGAAAACTAATATTAAGTTACTAAGTAATAAATACATATTTAAATGTATTTTGGAGTACATATTTAAAAGGTTTTTATAAATAGATAAGAAATTTGGAAGATGAGGTATTATTTTTAAATTATTTATTTTACAAACGCCTCAAATGTGTTCAATAATCTAAGATTAAATTTTTATTTAGACTAAATAATAACTTTTTATTAAAATTATAATATTTTTTATATACATTTTGGACTAACAGTTTTATTTCCCTATACTTATAACAAGGGCAATAGTATGTTTTGGCATAACATAAAAAAAGTACGTTTTGGAATAATTTATGTCAATAGTTCGTTTTTATATAGTTAATGATGGGTGCAAATTCTTTTAACATGGACAATAAAATGTTTTKGCATAAAACTGGAAAAAATATGTTTTGATTATCTAAATACTAGTTAAGTGCATGAAAATGGTTCGTTTTGAATTAACCAGTCATTTTTAAATGCGGCTTTGGCTGGAAAATAGTACATTTTGATCTATTCTGACAACACTATTCGATTTTCACGATGTCTTTTCCATAATAATCGATATCTAACTCGATTTTTTCAATTTTGACAATAGTACGTTTTGGATTTCCACCCTTCAAATAGCGTCACACCCACTATCATCTTATTCTTATCCGTAAGTCTAAATGTTGTTGTTACTTCTTATTGGTTATTGATATTTAATCAGACTACTCTGACTATGACATTATTTTTCTCCTTTATGAACCTATCAAACCATATTTTTATGAAATAAAAGGTACCTAACTTGTTGCTCAAGTAATGGTTGTCGCTAATTTTCTGTTTATACGCTAACTTGGCTTATTGCGTATACCAATAATAATATATCACTGCGTATGTATGGAAATATAATAAAATAATAGTGGCCATTCTGATATTCTGCAAGTAATTATGATAGTATTGTTGAAAATTAAATCATACAACAAGGCACAGGACACATAGTAACTGGAGTAACATGTATAATTTTTGACTAATCAGCAGTGTCGGGGAGTAACTTAATAGTTACAAGTTATTGTAACGAAATTACTTTTTAAGTAATTTGATGGTAATAATTTAATTACAAATTACTGCACGTATTTTATAGGTACGTAATTTAAATTACTTTTTGGTAGTAATGTTATAAAACTACTCGTTTTTAATTTTAACGAAATTATTGATATAATAATATGTATACTTATATCAATAAATATGTAAATATTATAACATGATATTATATAAGTATTTAGTATTTGTATTTAATTAAATATTCTGGACTGTGATATTTTTCTTATAGTCATTCTCATTCTTATTGCCTATTTAACATAATAAATGTTACTTTAAAAAAAGTAACTTCCATTGTAAGTAAGTTACTTTTTAACTCAAAAATAATGTAACTTCACAACAGCCCATAAAAAGTAACTATTAAGAGTAATTTAGTTACAATTTTGAAAATAAATTAGTAATTTAATTTAATTACCAAAAAAAAGTGTAACTTTCCCAACACGACCAACACTGTATTATATACTAATCAGTATTAGATATAGACACCGGCTTAATATGATAATTTAATTATCTAATAAAAACACTCTTTTTATTCAAATCACCTATAATTATTTTGATTTACAATTGACATTTTATTATTTGACTTAAATATTGATTTATTCCTGCAAAAAAAGACCCATCGGGTGTGCATGTTAGTTTG